TAAATATATAGTTCTGAAATGCAATAATAATGAGGGTCTCTGCATTAGCTATGCCATTCTCTGTCATGTCACATGTTCCTAACAACTCAACTGTATTTTGAAAATGACCTTTCTCTATACTCAAGACAGTAGACCATAGGTTCCCAACCTTAGGCCTACTGACTTCCGTTTTTGAAATCAATAATGTGACCCATAATTTTTTGGGTCATAGCCCACTTTTTCAAACAGAGATTTGATGGTGCCCCTCTTAGGCTACCATATTGATAAACAAGGACATGTCTTTAAAATTACTTTATTAAAAAATATTAACAATATTGGTGTAGTCTTTAAAAAATTAGTTAGAAAACTCTCCATGTCATCCAACATTTTGTCAATTCGTCTCTACCGTATTATTGCTTAATCAGATTTTCTTAGTATCAGACAGTGGCTGTACAGTACAATACGCAGAACCTCAGTCACAGCTAGCAGTATCAATTCCTCTCCAATAGTGTGCAGTTTTCCCAATTTAGCAATAAGCAAGGAAATGTTGTAAGAGGCACGTAACCAGTCATCATCTTGTTTCAACATTGCTGAAAACATACCAGCTAAAGTTGGATGTTTCGAATGTTATTCTTTGAGCATTTGAAAGTAAGATAAATTTTTATCTTTTCTGTCGGGATGTATTTTGGTGAAATATTCTAATTGTGAAGGTTTCGTGGCTTCATTTGAGAAAACTCTGACAAATCAGGCAATTGGCAATGCCTTGTTTAAGGGTGCCTGAATAAAACCATATTTGAAATATTCAACATTATATTGTCCACATTTTTTTTTTAATAAGAGATGTGCCAAATCACCTCACTCTAGTGCCAAATTCATTTCTAATTTATAATTATTTATCCAAAAATATAGCCCAATCATTTACAGCTGTTGTAGATGTATTAGCTTAAGGTATTGGATTTCAATGGTCATGTATATTTATTATTATAATTTAAACATTTAAATTTATGTAAGTTGTTTTATGAATATTTTATAACAGAGAAATTTTTGTAAAAAATTATTTAAATTATATTACTAATGTCAGTTGGTAAAAAGAACAATAAACAGAATAATAATAGTAAATATGTGCATACTTGCTTCTGTGGCAAATAGTTATTACAGCAAAAATATATTTTTAATAAATCATCCTTTGAATGTGATCTGTAGATACTACACAGAAATTTTAGGTTCACGCTTGCTCTGAAGGAACTTCGAAACAATCTTGTGTGGATAAAAAGCCTCATGTATTTATAGTAATGTTTAACGAACCTGTCAAAACATGCATAGATTTGATATTCTGCACATGTGTTAATCTTGTCATGACCTGTGCAAATCTGTAAATAAAAGATTTGTTGATCGATCCAGAACACACACACACACGCTGTGGTGCTTTGTGTGGTGCACTGCGCATTATGTTATTCTCGATTATACATTGTTTGTCAAAAAAAATATATGGAAAAATAAAAATCAAGTTTAAGTCATTTTATTTGACTTTACATCTATCCACCACAAATACTGAAATCGTAATATTACTAGAAAAGCGTTAAAGCACAAAATCATATTAAAATATGTATATTTACAGTAAATGTTAATATAATCATCATAAATCCTAGAGAATGAAACATGAAAACATCTGTGACTGTGTTGTCATCTTATTTAGTGGTCTTTAAGTGCTCAAAGTGCCAATATTGATGTTTTACACGGTACTTCCAATATCTACCGTTTGGCGTCGTCATTAACGCCACTCGATATTGGTAAATTTAATATAAATTAGTTTATTTTCTACTGTCACAAGATAATTTTAATAACTGTATTTGTTATTTAACCTTACAAAATCATCTTATTTTATAATGTCTTAGAGCAAACCAAATTCACAAATAAAGAGTCTGCGATTTACTGTAAACATTGCCAAATTGTAAACATGTACAGTACATTTACAAGTATGTACTGTATGTACATGAATTCATAAATTTAGATTACTTTTTTCTGTACTGTATTAAAAACTAAAATTTATTTAACAACCACTAAAAATAAAAATTATTCTCAGTTAAAAACAAGTAAAAAATACTCAATCTAAAAGTAATTATTGAATTTATATATTTAAAATTTATTTGTTTGTAAGCTTAAAATAGATTATTATTAACAATATATTATTAAAAATGCATTTATAAATAAAATACAGAACCGGGAATGGTTCTTTGTGGTTTAGCCTAGTGACAAGTAAATTCGACTTAAGTCGCCTCTCCTGGAACCAATTACCGATGTAAGACGAGGTATACCTGTATAAACAGCAAACTGGTGTCCAGTCTTATAAGACAAATATCAGTCAAAATTTATAGACTATATCTAAACTATAATATAAATGAATAAATAAAGAACTTGATAACGAGATGATATTCATCTTGCTGTCTGTAGTTACCCTATTACATATTAATTATTTTAAGTTACAGCATGATTTATTCCTATTATTCCTGCTAAAAAAAAATAAAAATTGAGAACTTTGCTCTCATATTTACATTTTTTTATTGCAAAAATGCCTAAACAAATTGCTACTGTTACATTATGTAATGTCTTGTTATTAATTTATAAATGTGCCTGCATTTCATGTAAAGTAATAATTTTGATATAATGCAATATGATATTAATGATGTTTATTACATGATTAACTCATAATCAATCAGTTCTTGATTATGAGAATTAAAATTTTGTTTTGGAAAATGAAATATCAGTTTTATGTAATTTTACTTGATAAAAATGTTATAAATTATTGCAATTCCAAATTTTCTGGATAGCCACTGTTTTGTACAGATATTCTTTTATTATTGTACAACAAGTCCTTACTTAATGTCATTTTGTTATAATGTTGTTGAGGAAAGAAATAAATACATCCGTAATCATTTACAATTATTATCGTTGAGTTTTCTTTATAACAAAATGTATTTCGCTAGCACATATCTTCAGACCACTAAACTTCTGATTTCAACAAAATGAGAAAAATTTATCAATTCACAAAAATTTCAGAATCCGCCTGAAACAGGCAGATTTTAAAAATGAATTGCTGCTACATTTTACATGCCTTGCTGGAAGCTGAAGATGTTTAGTGTCTGAAGATTTTCTTTATAAACAAAATTGATTCTACGTGGGAAATAAATGCTTGAGGTTGCAAACACGATCTAATTAGAATAATATTAATCGAATTGTCATGTATATATCAATATATCAGTTAGCCTGTAGTAATATTGGTTTTGTTATATATCATTTTCACTAAATGTCATAGTTTCCAAGAACCTATCAATGACATTAAGTGAGTGAAGATCTCCTTATAGCAATGATTTGATAGAAAAAATAAAATAAAATTGTTAATTTCTGTTTGATATATTTCAGTATATATGCTATCAAATTCCTATTGAATTTAATACTTAACTGTTTTTAATCATTGAATAAAGGTTCTAATCAAATTACAGATCAAATGTCACAGTGTTCATTCTCCATATAGTGTTTGAACTGTTTACTGGTGTATAATAAATTCAATTAATTTCACATGAATAATATCAGAACTGAGTGGAGAATGATCAAGATTGTATAAATGTTTATTTCTTTATATTCACTAAACTATATAGTTTTATTGCTTTGTAATTATTACTATGGTTATTTAACAGATTAATATTTATAAACTACTAATAATTTCCACAAATTAAAACAAAATTTGAATACATTCATCTAATTAATATAGAAATAAATTTGTATATTTTTTTAAACATGGTAATTTTTAATAAATAATTTAGAACATTCTGGAGGAAAAGATTGAACCAGTATGGAACACAAACCCACAACTTCTTACTGCACAGATACATTAGTTTAAATTTCATAAAATTTATATACTGTATTTACTCACATATAGGACAAGGTGTGACTTTAAAGATCAAAATAAAGAAAATTATATTTATTAATACAATTCTAATTTTATTTCGTTTAATCACAAATAAAATATTAAATGCACGTAAATTTACACATTGTCTGCAAAAATTACTAGCATTTTTAACTTTAAGGAAAAATCTTGTAAAATTAACAGCATAATTTGTTTATGTAAAACTGGACAATCGGGACCTTTTTTGCCAATTCTTAACAGTCGAATCAACTCTCCGTCGATTACACTTATGAGTTTCTCCAAATTCTGAATAATTATTTGTTTTCACGCGGGAATGGATTAAAACTTATGGTTTTCATGTGATTTTGAAATTTCAATTTGGAATTCAATTCAAAAGCTTTGCTTTTTCTATTGCTATTCATCGTTACTCCTGACATCACAGAAGAACGATTGAAATGGCTCAGATAAAATACTTTTATTTTTAAACACAAGAGGGTGAGCATCTAGTAAAAAAAAATGCAATTACACAGTTCACAAAAATTATTGCAAAAATGCAAAGAATCTTTCACTCGTGCGTATATGATGAGCTAGGTTTTTGAAGCGGTGAAAAATGAATAAAAATCTATTGCATATACACCAATAGGGTAGCACATTTAATATGTTTTCTGAAAGCAAAGGAACTTGCTAGGAGTAAATTTGCAGAATTGTAATAAAAATATCAATGTTCCATTATATTGTGGATTTATGCAGAAGCTTAGGGATAATAGGGAAAACTGAAAATGTCTTTATCTGCTTTGCAGACTTTGCAATTTTGTCTGTCTTTTGTATTAAAACAATATTTTTGCTGTTTATGTTTCTCTTGATGACAAAACATTGAAACTGAAGTGTGGTAGTAGCCAAGTAGCTGTAACAATCTAATACAAGTTTTCGGGAGTCAATACAATGATTGAGAAGTACATTAATATTGCAGAGCGTTATATTGAAGAATATATATATATATATTTTTTCTATATTACTGTGTTTTTTAATGACATTTGTCACTTTTCTTTTGTTCATTTTCTTGTAAAATAATAAAATATATTAACTGAAATTTATTAATTCAAAATTATTATTTCAGGAACTTCTTGCTAAAATGAGTTCTTGGAAATTTCCTTGGCGTCATTTCATAATATTTTTGTTCTTCGGAATTGGAACATTCCTTATTTACGATATCAATTTATATGGATCTTTTGAGAGTAAGTTTTACATATATATTTTTATTAATTTATTATAATCTTAATTTTAAAGTAAAGATTACTTACTGTAATAAATATTGAAAAAATTGTGGACTTTTTAGAGTTGCAATATATCTTTTACTTTAAAAAATTATATCTTGATGATGGACAGATGGCTGAAGTGAGAAAGACTGCTGAACTCTGCTGTCTTTCTCACTTAAGTCTGCTGAACTCAGGACTCATGATTGAATCTGAGCAAGTGAACAACCTCATAAATTTTTCATGGACAGTTTGTATTAGGATTTTGTCCTTTACAATATGATTTTCTCTATTATAGACTCAGCTGAACCTGTGATTGTCCTAGAAAAGCACCTTCTTAGTGCCCAAAGGGTGAAATGAATTAAAAGAAAAAATATATTTAGCTTGACTGGTATAAATGATTTCAGTTTTTTTGGGAGAATTTCAGAAACATCCTATAATAGATAGGAATGAATTAAAATTATTGGGCTGCAATTTGAAAAAATTGTAGACCTATAAATTCCCACTGTCATTCATCTGTCTGTCAGTCCTTCCTTAATCTCAAGAATGGTGTTACCAGGAAGTTCCTGGTCTAGATTGAAAGTCACGAGAATTAAATTGAAAAATTTTCACCTGAATGAAGTCACATAGATGGTTATCGGGAAAACTATGATGTACAAGGGAAAGACACTAATAACTTGAGATGGTGAACATATTAATTTATTTAATTTTAAAAAAATATGATTAAAAATTGCAACTTGGCATTGTGATGATGTCACAATAAGTAATTGCTCATTTATTTTAGATTTACATACCGCCAAAAAAAATCATTGTTACAGAAGTGCTAATGATAAAACTTGTTCCAGTATGTGAAATTAAAATAGCCAAAGAGCATATATTTATAAATTTTCTGACTTAGTTTAAGTAAACAACTGAAGATACAGAAATGGTTCAGGTATCAAATTAAAGTTCTTACACTGTAGATGATTGTCACTGAATTTAGGCTTTGCTGAGTGGCAAAGGTTCACTGTTAAGTCTATACGAAAACTTGTTGGTCCCACTTCATTAACTTTAGTCAGAGCAATTTTTTTGTTTTGCAGTTTCATTATTGTAAATACAGTAGAACCTCCATTATCCGGACCTCCATTATCCGGATTTTCGATTATCCGGATTGTTCAAAATAAACAAAAATTTTACGAATTTGCTGATTTGCACTTGGCGAATTACGACACTGTTTATGTACGTGATGGAATGCATAACTTTTTTTGTTTCA